ATGGTGAAGTAAAAGGGATACCCTTATTTAGAGTGCTAATAGGAGTAAGACCTCAACGGAGAGACATGGTAGCCCAGCGCAACGCTGTTTCAGTGAGAGGAGGTGACCATATTCCAACGTTTAAAATTGATCGGTAGCTAAAGCAGCCGGCTTATGGAGAGAACAGGGCTCTTAACAGCAAGATCTGGAGTTGGTGAGTATCCACTTCGCCATCTACGTTGTACTTTATATCTGGTAAGGCCAAGCGTTAAACGACGCTCGAGACTGACCCCAGTTTATAAAGCTTTTGAAATAAGCGAAGCAACGTATCATCTTTACCTAGCGAGAATTGAGTATGATTCCCTTCGGCATTTTGCCGGCGCTAACAGTCTCCAAGGGCACGGTTTCACCCAAATGCTTGGCCTCTAAGCGCTTGCGAAACTTCAAAGAAGAGATAGCCTGCGGGGGTCAGAAAGTGCTCTAAGAACGACTTTAAGTACTTATTCTACTAAGATTAGAGCTCAAGACCCGCACGAACAGGTGTGTAATAAGGTTTTGTGCGGACTGCTTTTGATATACTGCCTCCATAATTACGACTGCTAGGGTCGCTATGGCGCTCTCGCTTATAGACACAAACCTCACTCGTTTAGCGAAATCAGTTTTATCATCATCAAGCTGAACGTCGTCGCTCCGCGGCGGGGTGTTGTAAGGGTCTCCACCGCAAGGATGGGCGCGAAGGATGCTTTTCATGCAGAAGAGATATGGATCGTTGAGAGCGCTCGACTTGTGGGAACTGGCGTTACCGGATGTTGCTCTGCAAAGACACAAGTGTCGGGTCGAAAATATGATCGTTAACATCGAAGAGAATATCGGCAGTATCGCTAGTAGTTTGTCGCCCGTGGAGGCCGCATCTATCTCAGCGACTCGATGTGCCATCAAACAGAGGACCTCTGATATTGCTTACGTTCGTAAATATAGCACGGTTTGTTGCAATATGTGAAGAAGAACATAGAACTTCCTCCGTTGCGTGATGTATTAACACTGCAGAATAATTAAGACCTTAGTGTGGCTTACATTATATAGGGCGTATACTGAAGTATGTCTCGTACTACATGGTTAGTACTTAAACGAATCAGGGTGATACTATAAAAAAGAGAAATTCGCGGAAATGTTCGCATTCAGCGTGAAATTGGTAAACACGATAGATTTAAAATCTGTTCCTAATTTATAGGTATTTTTTCACGCTACGCAGAACATTTGTTATTATTATTGTATAAGCCAGAACAGATATATTTAGCAGTCAAATTAATTTCTTACGCTCCGCCCAGAAGAGCCTCCAAAAGTAATTACATTTTACGGTTGCTCTGCTTGCTCACGAGTGTCGTAAACTCAGTTGTATTCAAATGAATACAAGATGTATAGGATTCACC